CACCATCCATCAAGTCCATATTGCCTATAAATGTTATGACCCCACATATTGCAAAGTATTGCCCCTTCCCGCATTGTAGGAAATACTAGCTGAAAAGAAAGTGGAATACATATGTGACAAACACAAACATAAGAAAAAAGAACCCCACACCTTTAATTTTAATCTGTAAGGAATTATAAATACACAGTCCTAACATTCTCCACATTATATGACAGACATTCGTCTATACGCCCTCTACATCAAAACAAGACACCAGAGTCTGCACCGCTAACCTAACAAATCTAGTTAAATGCTGACATTTTTAGAAACATAAAAGAAGCATTGCAAATGATTAAAACAAAATCACTTCTACAAGTTAAGAAGCTACTATATAGGGTTCTTATCATGCATTTTCTTTTTAGATACAAGATACACTATGTCAACTTCAATAAAGATTAACTTCATCCAAATGCTGTTGGTTTCTACCTAATATTTCCCTCTTTCTGTGCAATGTTGGACACGAGAAAATGAATAGCAACATTCATACTTCTGGAGCACCACATTGCTTGCCTCTTCTTTCTACAGACTTTGCTATCTAGCTCCTTTTACTAGATAGATATTGCAGTGACAGTCAACTAAGTTACACTTTCTGACAATGTCTTTGCTGTGGCTAACTTACCACCTCATCAAATATTCACTGTCATCTCCAAGGTAGTAAGTTAATAAGTCATAGAATTACACAATGTGCACTCACTGGTTAATTTTTTAAAAAGCTGACTTATTTTTACCCATCTCTTTGCTAGGGTATAGAAAGAATTTTTTTAAATATGTATACACAAACATATATACTTATGTATACACACACACTCTCAAATATGATTATAATTCCATTGAATTGATCTCATGTCTTATTTTATAATTCTCTTTCCAATCTTTTTTGATTAAAAGAAACCAAACTCAAGCCTGTGTAGAGCTACTTCAGGGGATTTCATGTCATGTTCATTTTACAGATAGGACAGTTTAAGCTGTCGTTTCTGTCACTCTGGGTGTTTAATGGATTACTACATGAAGTTTTTCAAGCCATGACAGAAGATAATTTTTCTAGTATCTTGACAATCAATTTTACATTTTATCATTGTATAACTTACAATGCTAGTGCAGTTAGGGATGGTATTCTATTAAAATGAGTATGTTCACATAGTTCAAAGATACACCAAAACTCAATCTAATTCCATATATACAGAAATGACATTGATATACATACTTATCCACCCAGTGGATACAGCTTAATCAGCAAATCTTCAGAAACATAACATTGTATTTGTAATTTTTCAGCACATAACCATACACTTTTCTATTTATTCCAACCTCAGTTACTTTGATTATCCTCAACAGAAAAGACTGTACACTTCATTAAGTGGTCTGTATTTGGGAAGCTTGTTCCATTTAATGCAAAAGCTGGAAGACGCAGGGTAAACAAAACTGGGCGTTCCAGGCAACACAGTTCGTGGCACAATCCTGGAGTAACACACCTCTCAAGCACTAACAAAATGGCTTAGCTGCTCTCCCAGTTGCATCCACTACATTAAAATAACATAAGATTTCCTTAGATGTAATAATTAATAATGTAGGAGGCGATAGTAATGAGTTTAAACCATAGGTGTGCCTTTTATAGCTGCACAGACACAATAAAAAGCAAAACTGCATCAGAAACTGAAAACAAAAAGGATATAAAAATATCAAATCTAATTCCTTAATTTTTGAAAATATGATAGGCTTATATTAGAATTTCCATACTGGTCCAAAGAGAGAAATAGAAAACCACTCTGCAAGACAAGCTCTTCTATCAATAAAAGCAAAATTTGAAGCTGCCATTTAAATATTTGAGTAATATGAAGTAATTCCTACTAATTACTTGATACACAACATAATTAACCCATGCAATAAATTAGAGAATAAAACCAAAAGGTTACTTAATTGTCTCAATAATAGCAATAATGACATTTCCGAGGCTTTTAACAGTGAATTAACAGCTGAAAACAAAAATTAATGGCCCAAGGTAGACAAGAAAATAGAATTTTCTGCTGTCAGTACCCGAATGAAATCAAATAATTTACCATTATCCCATTATAAGTCCTTCATTTTACATGTTTTTAATTAGGAATGAATTTTATAATTCAATGTTTACCTTTATTTTAATGGTCCCCTATTTCTGAGGTAAATAAACCCCCTTTTTTTCCCCTCCCTTGTCAGATATATCTTCTAACTTCCTAACTCCAAATCTTCTCCCATTTGATTCACTCTAGTACTAAGAAATGCTAATATGCAAGGATATTTGATACATTGGCCCTTCAATACACATTTCAATACAGAATTTCAATCACTGCTTCCAAATCACCATCTTCCAAATCTATCTTAGGTAACTAACTGTAATCATATTCTGTAACTTCGTAGTAGAACATATCAGATGTTTTGAAACCTCTGAGACATAAATTTACAGTATTTAATCTGTCACTATTAAATGTAGAGCTATAAACAACCATAATACCTTAACAATCACTCACAGACAACTTTGCAAACCTTTGTGGGTCTGCAAACCTGATGATTCACTATATTAAAGTTATTTCTGGTAACAAAATGCCGGTTTTTGCTATAGTATATTATTATTCAAAGTATAAGATAACTACATTACTATCTTATGACTTGCATGCAAAGAGCCTCACCTATTTAAGTTTCATTTGACCCACAGAATTCATACAATGGACGTTCTGGAAACCAGACTTTCAAGTTTTGCTGTCTTCTCTTGGGTGTCATGAAGAGCAAGCATGAGATTCCACAGGAAGAGAAATGGTATGTAAATCTGAAAAGCATAACCTATATTTCCAGTCCCTCATTTGAGTTCACCTTCTCTTCAGCTCACCTATGGCAATAGGAGCAATCCAAGCTCTTTTGGGAACATTTTGTTAGGCTACCTCCTGATAGCGTTCTCTGTCTTGAAACAGTTCATGGTCTGGGGTTTACAGAAGAGTACTGTCTGGTTTCTGTAACGTTTTGAATTGGTACAGCCATATTCAAACCTCAAAATCATTAAATGAACTAATTAAAATTCAAACCTCAGTGTAACTTGTAAAACTTTATTCCCTATAATTATTGAATTATAATTAGACCTGTGATCATTCTAAACATAACTATGTACCATATTTCATGTGACTAACTAAAATGTAGGGTTAGAAAACTTCAGCTGGAACATCACTATGTATGAGATTCATCTTTCATGTTTCCAATATTTTAAAAGTGCCCATCTAAATACCAGTGATTTATTTTCTTTTTTTCCCTTCAGAGTTTAAACATACATTGGTTACATATATGATGAGTAACACATGAGCTGAGGAAAGACATGATTCTGACCGATTTTAGTACTTTTGCATCTTGCTAAAGGAAAGTCTTGGTCTGAAGTACTGCTGTGCTGGATTTTGTTAAAAACCTTTTCAATTAAAATTTCCAACAGATTGAGGAAGAAAGGTAATCTTAGACCCTTACCTTAGAAAGCTAATCTTCCCAAAGTGTTCTTACTAGAGTGAGATCACTCACAATAGCTTGTATAAAGTGAAGCAAGCTGCCTCATACTTACACTGGGATCAAAGTCTTCAGACAAATACAGGGTTAACAGACCATCTCACATCTTGGTGAGCTTTTTACAGTTCCTGATACACTGGCTCGTACAAATTTTATTTAACAAATGCTCTTACATCAAGGGTAAAATACCTTGACTATCCTGTAGCAAGCAGGAGTATAAGGCTGTCCATAAGAGCAGTTAGGCATGGAGTTAACATGAGTTAATGAGTTAACCCCACAGCCTATAAATACGCTTTTACCCTTGGGTAAATGAGAAGCCATTTACAGCCCTTATCCACAGTACAGTACTTTAAATTACCTCATATTGTGCAACCCTCATATTTCCAGATAAGCATGAGATAATTTCAAGTCCTAGAAGTAACTAAAAAAAAAAAATCATTTAGATTAGTTGTCCTTCATTCTGAGGATCTTTCATTGCTCAAAGTGATTTAACATCGTTTCAAGAAAATCTATTTAAAGGTTTCTTAAAGTTTGCAGGCTGAAAAGAGATCATCGGGAATTAAAAAATGTTTCTTTAAGACAGAGAACAAAGCTTTCAGGTTCTCTTTCCTCTCCTGTTCCCATCTCCCTTTCCACCCAGAAATCACTTGTATGATGGTGATATTATTAACATCTATAGCATCACCAACTGAAAACTGTTTTAGTTAATACATTCAAATTCACACTACATCAGAGGAACTGATCCACTCTATTTAATTAGAAACCTAACCTGTATACAAATTTTAGGTATCTAGGAAAACAGACATTCTAAATGAAGTGTATATTTTACCTGCATAATCAAAAGAGAGGTATGCCATTGACAACTTACAAAAAGAAATCTTACCTAACCTAAGTCACTCTATGGTTGTACTAAATGAGCTAATGGGCTGGGGCAATCTGGATGGCAGGAGTGTTTAAACCATTATTTTAGTCCAGAACTGCAGTGAGCTTTCAAATCAAATCTCTCAGTTGTCTCCATTTTACTGTCTTTGGGTTTCACAACACAGAGCAGTCTTAAAATACATGAACTAGACTCTTTTTCAATGAAACTAGATCAGAAGATTAATTTCAGGAATACATCTAATGTGCTACAAGTGTTAGGGAAGAGACACACCAAGAGAAGTGCTCGTCTAACTTGCACAGAATGGATCTCAATCCACACTAGAGAAGCAAAAACCGTCTGCCTAAATCAACCCTGTAGTACTCTTAAGAGACAGAGTAATCTTGGATTTGAGTAAAGATAACATTTTCAGTAATAATGAGATCAAGAGTGTCGTATGAGACTTTCTAACTGCATCAGAAACATGTCAGTCTGTAATCCACATGCTAATTTATCATCATATAAACCATTACTTCCTTCAAACTACTTGTAAACAATAATTAAGCAGCATGTGACTGCAACTTGCCTGATCAAGATAAAAAGCACTACCATCTCGGATCTCTCGTCTCTGTTTGAGGTCAGTTTCTGTGGTGTCCCTCGACAGTGCGATATATTCAACTTCCCGCTTTGTTAGCTCCTGTGGACAATAGTCTAAAGTTATTACAAAAATAAGACTATAACCCCAGTAAGTGAACTTTAAGAATAGGCCTGGTGGTATAATTGTACAAAAGAGCTCTAGGCAGCAGCACAGTGATGAAATAACTCTGAACAAAATCTAATATCTCTTATTTTTAAAATGTTTATAGTGTGTTCTGCCTCAAACAAAACGGTTTGAATTTCTGCTCAATAAAACTTTTATTTTCCCCAAACCTGTTCTAAAAACATAATAACCAGCTATATATTCTTTCCATTGAACATCTGTAACATCCTGTAAGTTAATCTTCTGGTTCTGGACTCTGAAAAAACAATGAGCACCTGCAAATCATGAATAAAAACCAGAAAAGCTTCAACTCTCGCTGTTTAGTAACACTTACACCATGACACAATTGTGATTACTACCTGCACATGCTTTGTCAGTACACTGATGAACTATATTGTTCTTATCCTCTCTGCCTTTAATGCCATGAGATGTAGTCTGCTTCTGTAAAACTACAGACTATTTAAAAAATCAGAACCCTTGGGTTACTGTTTTATTTCTTCTGATTCAATACGAGATATACTTAGAATTTTCTGTCTTAAAGGAAAGAAAAAAAATCCCCCAGGTATTTATACCTGATGTTCCTGCTGCTTCCATATCTGGGTTATCATGTGCTCTGCTAGGAAACAGATTCATGCTGAAATGCTCTTAGCCCTTACCCCTCAATTAAAGGTATGATATATTTAACGGATCTCTGTTAAGAGGCAGCTTTTAACTATAGCTGTGTGAAAAAAAAATCAAGCAAAGATATACAAATCCACGAAAATTGTCTCCTTTCCATTTTTCCAGTGCCTATTTGTTACAAAGTCACCAATTCCTTTATGCTGCAGGTAGGTAGAATTGTACTTTCTTATAATTATAAGGAAAACACTAGAAAGTGAAATACAGGAGAGTTTTCTTCAACAATTAGCCCTGTGTATGAACTCATAGTTGCACATTTCAGCAACAGCAGATAAAAGTTTTCCAGGTTTACAGAGCTTCATTAAAGGAACCACAGCACATATCAGCTCACATGCAAAGACCAGCCTTCATGTACTTGTTTGGCATGGCATTGAAACAGTAAGCTGCAGCCTTTGTAACGTAGCTCAGGTGCATACAAACAGTGCTATAAATAGCAAGACACATTCTATGTCCCACACCTGGCTATCAGGTGCTTCCTAAGTCCTTTTTTTTTTTTTTTTTTGATTATACCAAACTCTTCTCATTTATTTTAAGGAATGCATCGAGCTATCAAGTAGTGTATCTGTTTTGCTGAATAAAGAAATCTTTGCTCTCCTTTCCAAAGTTCAAAATCTTGCAGCTTTCTCCTATATGCTTTACCTCTGAGAGCTCATCTTTGAAATAGTATCTTTTGATTTTTAAAGGAATGGTTCATCTTTATGACAATTGCTTATCCATCTCCATTTGTGATCCTTCTGCCCAATCAGATTCTAAATAGAGCTCACAGCAGACAAAGTTCTATCCACATCACCTTTTGGGGCACACAACCCCCTCTTCCTGATCATTTAAGGGCACTGACAATTTAAACCTGAAGTTTTGCCCATAGCGCTGCCATGGTCCACACAGACGGACGTAGGCAAGTTGTTCCTGCATTCCAAGAGAGAATCATACATGGATCTACTCTTTCTAATCCCTCACAATAACTGTTCCCAAATGTTACTCAGAACATTCCTCTCCCAAATCCTTTCCTTCATTTCTTTTTTTATATAACAAAGCAAAAACAATTTGTTGTCTGTAACAGTAGGCAGATATCTTAATCTTCTAACATACATAATGCCTAGAACAAACTGTTTCTCCATTTGTGATAGCATATGGTAATGCAGTATTCCAACTCTCCACCCCCCGAGTTAAAGCAGAAAAACATATATTAAAATGTCTGTACTTTCTATTTGTCTGTAACAAAAATTGAACATTGGAAAGCACATTTATGGAAAAACATTATGGAAAAAGTAGCTTGCTGTAAGATTTCCTAGGACTACCTTTTACTATGACTAACTGACAGTAATGACTGTGCCTCCAAGAATTTAAACCAACATACTTACCAGATATTGCATGGCAATAGATCGCCGGAGAGGCCCAGGAGGACCAATAAGAAAGACATCTTGGCCAAGAAGATCTTTCTGCATTATCCATCTTAAATGGTGGACTACAGACTGCGCCAAAGAATCTGTCACTTTGAAACACAAAGGTAAGAATACATTATTTAATTCTGAAAAGTGTTAGATACCTGGCCACTCATGCATTTTTTTGTTCTTATCTCCAAAAATAACAAGACACAAAGATGTGCTTCCTTATAGCTGGAAAGCAGGAAATTCCACACACAGTTTATATTAGACTACTTAATTTACATTTAAGTTTATAGATCTATCCTGCCCATTCCCTTTTTCTCTGCCCAACCTCATCATTAAAAAAAACCAAAAACATCAAAAACCAGAAAAAAAAAGCTGTTGATTCTTATTTCACATTAAACTGATCAACACAAAGACTGTTTTTTATTACCCAATGTTGAGTGGACTTCTCAGCATCAGTTAATATAATATAGATATGTTATTAATAATTTGTAAAGGATTTATCCAGCATATATTCCAATGCTTCTGCAAATCATGAACTTAAAAATAAAAAATAAAAAAAATACTGTGCTTGCATCAGATTGAGATTAATGTTCAACGACATCTTTAATTTGCTATTTTCTTAAAAGACAACTGCATTCCTGTTTACATTTTGACAAAATAAAACACAGAATTAAATTATCAAGGAAATGTAAACCTTGCAATATCACTACATCAATACCATGCATCTTCCAAAATCATAATAAAAAACAACTCAAAGCAGATCCACTTATTTCTATTAAGAATACCACGTCCTTATTACTTTAAAAAGCAATAACCTGATTATAATTAAACTAAAACCTTTATCATATGCATGCTAATCTTGGCAGCACTGGAAAGCACCATGCAGAAAGAGCACACTGAAGGAGAGGGCACCGTTCCCACTGCCATATATCGCTCTATTCCCAGAATACTCCTTAACATACTCCCTAGCAAAGCACAAGAAGCACAAGCAAAAAGCACTAGTGCAGGAGGAGGAGAACACAAGCAAGCCAGGAGGGAGATTTATGTATGTGTGTATCTATATGGTTGCTTTCAGAACAATCTGACAAGACCGATGACGGGGTTTGAAGCTGGAGCCTCAGGGGTGGTGTCCGAGATGCTGAAGTGCAGAAAGAAAGGAGCAAGAGGCAATGAAAAATTCCAATTAATACTTGGGTTTTTACCTTTTTTCAGAGTGATTACTGGTGACGATTAGAAGCCAAAATTTTAAAAAACAAGCCTTGGTTCCACATCGGCTTTCCTGAGACAGGAAGGCAGTATGTATGGGGCAGAGTTAAGGATGGCAAGCAACGGTGCCCCTCAGTTCTGAGGGGTTTCAGTTCACTGCGGAATCTTTGTGTACCAGAATTAAAATTTGTTTTTGTAAGATCATAGAAGCAGTATTAAATGGTTATATGGGATTCAAGGAAGATTTTTCAAGCATTAAGGTGGCTAAGGAAAACTTCATCAAAAATTTTAACTGAATATTTTGGTCTGGTACTCAGGAAAACCATGTGAGACCTTATTCCACTTCCAGAGAAATCTACTACATCCTTACCACCAATATGAACAGGAATAGCATACACATGGAGGTGAGCAATCTATGTATTAGGATTATCAGATTAATTGTAAATAAACATTTCAAGTTTGCTTTTTTGTTTTGTTTTCTAAACCACTCATTAGCATGTCCAGAATTAGTTTTCATATATGGTGTGGTAAGATCATATGAATGTAAGAATATTTTCTTCTTTGCTGCACTACTGTTTTCCAAAAGCAATGCACATCACACATACCACACACAACAGGCCAAATGCAAATAAATTCCTCACAGAGAATAGCATATTCCTTTCCATGAGATTTTCAAGAAAATTAAGGAAGTTCCTATTATATATATATGCTTCGGGAAATAAAGGGTAATACATCACACCAGAAGTACTGGTCTGTCCAAACTTTGTTACTGGACAGGTATGGTAAATTGAAAAGATATTATATTAAAGGTACTATTAAAATCAAAAGATAGAGATGTCACTGAGAGGCACATTCATTATTATTTCTACCTGTTGTATGAACTTGCCAATGTGCCTCTAGTGTATTTTTATAATAGCTCTTGTCAAAAAAAAAAAAAGTTACTAAAAGTGGACAAATAAGCTTGGAAATCTTGCTGAAATACTGAATTCTTTCATGTCAAAATCATGCATTAGAAGCATGGCAAAAACAACTTTGACACAGCATGACTACAAATGCCTCTGGTATAATTCACATTAATATCTGTAGCTATCTTTTTTATTTTTAGGATGGTCTCAAGAAAAAACTCAGGTCAGACTTAAAAGCGGTACCATAAACAGAAACAAGATTTAAGAATCTTTAGCAGCATCTGCAAGACAAACTGTGATGTAAAAGAAAACATGAATGTACAGCATTCAAAAAAAAAAAATTCTAAAATCTTAGGAACGTGATTCCCTCTGCAAACCTTAAGGTATTTCAGGGCACTTATATTCTTGTCACTGTGTTTAAACAAACCAAATTTACTCTGCAATACTAATATGAAAAACGCAAATTTTAAAAAACTCTCCTATAATTTCTTAACTTCGCTTTTTTTGAGAAAAGGGCATGAAAGACACAATTCCCTATCGACACATTTCCTAGAAAATGGTTTCGTTGCTTCACAATTCACATCGTTCTCCTCACATACGGATTACAGCTGGATCAATTATAATACATGTTGTCAATCACAAAGTCAGCACACTGACTATCTGCAAACTCACTCAAAGGAGCCTGTTACAAACAATGCTGACAATTCAAAGCGAGCATTCCCTAAGGTGAACTGTCATGACAGCAGCTTCCACTTGTCAGTTCCTTCTATTCTAACATGTAATATCTGTACATTGCTCCAGATATTAAGGCCACTTCAGTTTCCCAGTTATGTCCTTATAAAATCAGAAGAATATAAAATTTCCTTTGCACACGCAGTCCATGCTGCATAAGCTGTTTCCAAAGCATGGTATGCTTTTCAAAAGCAACTTCAGATGCACATACACAATATCTTTTATATTACTTCTATATATTTACACTACTTGTACTGTGGTATCTGCATTGCAAAGCTTTTAAGTTTTCTCTAACATGACTTGAAAAAATTCTTCTCTGTTCAGATACTGTATATTAACTTTACTACAAGCAGCATATAATCATTTTCTAAGACATTCAGAAGACAAGGCACATTAGCTGAAAAAAGCATCAGCATGCATATTACAGCAATTTTTATTAATTATCCCATGAGTCAGATAGCATCTAATGCAAACTAGGTTTGCACAATCTGTTTACTGGCACTCCGCTGATTTGCAGTAATTGAGTAGCTGGCCCTACACTCTTAATCTGCAGGATGGTGCGTAGGACGCCTCTACAGTGTATTCTCAAAGACACCATCTGGCACATGCAGGGGAGTAGTCAGTGCTACAATTTGCTATTCCTGTGTATCAAGGACGGCCAGTGAAAGAAATTGCATTCTATTGTTTTGTAGTATGTGGTAAGTAGGACAAGACCTAGTAGAATCTGCGCAAGCATTTTGTAAAGTGAGCAGTTGAAGCTGCATGGAGAAATCCAAGAAGAAAATGTTGTAGATAGATTTTGAAGCAAATGTAGCAGCTGCTCTTGTTTGATCCACAAATCAGCTTTCGATAAAACCAAGACTGAAATGGCTGTGCTAGCCTCGGAAATTTTCCAGTTCACTCATAACTTGAATTCTTGGCACATGCTACACTCATTGAAGTCATAAGATTCACTGGAGATAGCAGACAGTACCTGCTGGCAGGTCCTTGTGTCCCACCTACAGAAGAAATCCCACAAATGAAGGAGACACCTACCTCTTCCCACTGTTCAGAGACAGACAGTTAAACGAACCGATTCCCAAGAATATCTATTCCAGATGTGGTACAAAACATACTAGAGCTCATGTCCTTGTATGACTCTAGTTTGGTCAATCACATAATAACCAAGAGGTACTTAGAAGACATCAATATATAATTTTCAACAGAATAAAAGAAGACCTCTGCACACCCTGAACATTCACTACAATGCATATTAAGAGTCCGAGAACACGTCTTTTTATCAGGGGAGACAAAAGTTAATGAGGGGAAAAAGATCTCCCTCTCATCAAATTACTGAGGGGGTCCTTTAGCTTTCCACGGCAGTTTGCAGTACATCCAGCACAGGAGGCAGCTGCCATAAAATACGATTGAGGAAGAAGGGGACAAGGAGGGAGGTCTTTATCTAAAAACATAAATACATTTCAAAACCGGAAAATGTTAAAAAAACCTGAGCTCACTGAGACTTATTTCACAGCTTGTTCAGGCTGCGGGACAATGAAGGGAGTGAGCTGCCCAGCACACAGCGGAGGCGGCAGCATGGCCAAGGTGAAGAGGGAGGCACTCCTATGTGGCCAGCTTTCAGCTGCTTTCATTTAGCACTTCACGAGTAAAACATTGCTGCTCTTCCAATTTCACGCTGATGAACAGAGTCCAACGAGTTTTCAAAGTCTCATAATGTGGTTTCATCACAGACAGTTTTCACTGGAATATTATTTTTCCTCATAAATTTTTCATGGAAACAGTCTTCATTCCAAAAATTTTTGTTCTTGCAGTGGTAGGGAAACAAGTTGCAAGTCTTTGCAGGGGCTTAGAAAGGGGGAAGTTACTTCTTGGATGAGACCATAAACTCATTTATCACTAATTCCTCCGAGTCAATTGCTTCACAGGAAGGTACAAGATCTACATAGGTAAATCATATTTCTCCATGTGAGTATAAATGAAAAGAGAACATAAAGGAACCATGTAAAACCAAACAGCTTTCTGGAAAGAACCCTGAATGGGATTCACATGGCCAACTTTCTCTTAGTGACATGCAAACATGGAATAAATGAAACCACTCTTAGCTGGATGTACAACTCCTAAAGGAAATACATAGCCAGAGCAGTTATCTGTAGCTTAGACTCCAACTGGAGGTACATACTGTGTCTGGTTTTGAGCACAACAGCTCAGTCCAGCACCAACAAGTTCAAGAGATTCTAGAAAAGAGCAAAAAGAATTAT